ACCTGGAGTACCCAGGCGAAGATGAGAACTTTGTATGTTTGTTTAACAGTCAATGGTATGATCTAGTACAGAATAGAGGCACAAGGATTCATCCTGCTTATGGTTTAGTAGATGTAAAATATAGCAGAAGATACGGGAAGTTTGATCCATTTGTGTTATCAAGTCAAGCTATTCAAGTTTATTTCAGCAAATATTCCAGCGGTCGTAAAGACAAACAAGATTGACTAGCTTTCATAAAAATAAAAGCACGGAAAATAATTGATCAACAATATATTATAGCAACTGCATATCAAGAGGATGATATGTCAAGTTGTAGGCATGTTGAAATTGAGGAGATGTCAACTACAACTTCTAGTATTGAAATGGAGTTAGAAGATGTGAATTGTTCAACTAGCTCAGGCGAAGATGAGAATGAAGATGAAAGTGAAGATACCCTTGAGAGCAATGAAAATAGTTTTGATGATTCTGAGTAGTTGTTGTAATTTAGTATTGTAAAATTTTACTTTTTTGTAATATTTTAAAAAGTACTTTTGAAATCTAATAAATGAAAATATTAATTTTCAACTTGTATTCTAGCATTCTTTATTTTTATAATTCATTAACTACTTTTTTAATTGTTTATTGTATTTGTATTCTGTTATATTTAGAATTATAGAATTGTACTTTTTTATTAATTGCTTCTTTTATTTGTATTTTTTATATATTACAATGCTTTACTAATTGTTTCTTTTAATGCAGATGGCTTTAAGCGATGATCATCCTCGTAAATCATTTACCTCAAAGTTCCAGTGGAAGAAGTTTATTGTTAGTAGAGCCACACAGCCTGATGAAGGTGAGGGACCTTCAGTTCCACCTGCTGATGTACCTACACCACCACCACCACCTAGGGGCCAGCAGCAGTCCCCGAGTGAGCAGGGTCAGGGACATTTAGATCCATCCCCTGTTGTACCTCCATACTTCCCTGGCCACTACCCTCCTCTCTCGACAAGTCCTCACTTCCCCTCTCCAGATCAGACACATGCTTCTCCATTCTATCCATATTACCCCCCACCATCATCACAGACAGCTGGTCCTTCCACTGGTCCCCACCCTCCTTACCCTTACCCATATTACTACCCCTATCCGGTGCAGCATGAATAGGGTGGACCATCTAGACCACCAGAGGTTGGCGCTAGCGATCATGCAGCTGCAACAGATAAGCGTCAATAAATTGAGCCTGAGGGCGATAAGTAAGTCAGTTTATGTTATTAATTAAGTTATTTTTATTTTGATATATTACATGTTATTGACAAAAAAAGTAACCTGCAGCTTCAATCCTTCAAGGCCACCTATACATATGATACGGGATATTATAAAGAATAAATATGATGCTCCTTATTTATCCTGGAAGAAGATCCCAA